ATTTATTTTGAGATAATTTTTTATTATTTTTTAGTATAATTTGACATATTATTTAAATAATTGATTATTTTAATTTATGTGAAATCCATAATATTTAATGTATTCACTTATTTAATAATATATAAAAATTACATAAAAAAATAATATAAAAGAATTATTCTTATAACATCACCTTATTATTCTTTTTTTTTATAAAAAAAAATTTTAAAACAGCCACTAACTGTTGTTGAGGGTAGATTAGTCTTTAACCCTCTGCCTCTATAAATACCGGCCACCTCCCCGCATGAGCCGTTGTCTATTGGAAAGCAGAGTTGTCTGGCTACTCAGTAGCAGGGCTTAGGGACGAAGGAGGCTCTTAAGCGGATGGAGACTGAGAAGAAGCTACAGCTGGAGGAAGCGGAGCAGGTTCCACCAAAGGAAGCTCCAGCCCTTAGCCGGATGGGGCCAAAACAGGGGCCGCAGATGGACGAGGGTCTAATTCAACCGGTGGAGGAGGTGGAGCAGGGGCTGCAAAAGGCAGAAGTTTTTCTTCACGGGATGGAGGAGAACCAGAGGTTGCAGATGGAGGCAGATCAGAAGGGGCTACTGGAGGAGACCCTCCACCCAATTGAGGAGGAGCAGGGGCTACAGATGGAGGAGACTCTTCCCCCGATGGAAGTGGAACAGGGTCTACAGATCGAGGAGGCGCTGGGCCTCCACCGGATGGAGGCAGAGCAGGGGTTACAGATGGAGGAGATGGAGGCGGAGTTGGCGGAGATGAGGGCAAAAACTAGCCGCATGAGAGAGAAAAGGACGGAAGTGGAAGCTGCCGTTGAAGCGAAGAGAAGTGAGCTGGAGTTGAGGAAGATAAACCGCGATCGACGCCTTGCCCAACTGCTGCTTCTGGAAGAAGCAGAGCAGGTCTTCCTGGACATTCTGTTCCCGCCACCAAACTGAAACGAGGAGACAGAATTCATTTGCTGTCATGTTTGGTTCAACTAGCTAGTTCTGTTACATTTTCTTTCTGTCTACACTCTACTTAGCTTATCTCCTGCTGTTTCATTGTGTTTGTGTTTGCAAAAATCATATAATAGGCCTTCTGTTGAACCATATAAATAGACAGCCGTAACCTGCGCGCAGCTTTATTATATATATTGGTATATTTGTGTTTGCAAGTTATTTCCGTTATGTGAGAATTAGTGAAATTTTTCTTTTGAATATTTTTTTTATTTTGTGTTACTTAAAAAAAAAATTAACCTACTCTCATTTTTTTAACACATTCTATTTATATATTATATCATTTAAATTTAAAATATTTTATATTTAAAAAAATTATTTTTAAATTACTTAAAAAATTGATTTTTTTTTTATAAATATTTTCATGAGTTTTACTACCTACGCACAACTAAATCTAGAGGGGGATCGCCAACCGGCCTGTGGCCCAATTGGTTGGCCCCAAGTTTTAGGGTTTGGGTGAGGCGGAAGTTAGGGTTTCGAACTCTACCACCATCGTGAACTCCACCAACTTGCGACCTAATGGTCGTGCGCCTCAAATGAGGGAGTGGAAAGTTCACTTTCCTGAAAAAATTCTAGTTGCTAACAAACTAACTCTACTAACTTCATAACCATCTACCTGGTCAAAAAAAAAAAAAAATCTAGAGGGGGATCGATTTAATAAGATCTTAATTACACATAGACATAAAAGGGGATCGAAAGGCAAATCTAAAAGCCCTTACGAACTCGAGCAAGTCGATAGGGATCCACTAGAAGATGGTCTTGATCTTAATTCCGGATAAGATTTTAAGATTAATCGTTTTTAATTACAACATAGTCTCGATTTTCAAATTTGTACAAAGCCTGAGGACAAATAATCTTTTCTAAACCGTTATTTTAAATCGAAATTTATATAAATTAGTAGTAATTTTATAGAATTAGTATTTATCTATTTTATTTTCAAAAATTGAGAGAAAAAAATAAAAAATATTTTAATTTATATTTTAAAAATAAAATATTTTAATTTT